GGCCCCCGGGGGGGCGGGGCGGGGGGGGCGCGCGCGCCGGCCATGCCGCGCTCCCGCCGCGCCGCGCGCCGTGAGTGGGGGGTGCCCGGGTGAGGGGAGCGGGGGCCGGGACCGCGCGTGCCATGGCCGGGCTGGCAGCGCCGGGCTCACACGAGTCTGCTCCGCACCCTCGCAGGCGGCACCGGCAGCGCCCGGGCGAGCTCGCCCTGCAGCGAGGAGGAGGCCGGCAGCGAGGTGCTGAGCCACTGCAGCAGTGCCAGCGAGAGCGCCAGCCCCGCCGACGAGGGACCAGGTGAGCCACGCGGACCCCACGGTGACCCCCACGTGGGTCGCCGTGTCCCCCGCCCTCGGGCTCCTCGGCTTCACGTGGTGCCGCCCGGGCAGGGAGCGAGGCGGCGAGTGAGCAAGGCCAGGAGGAGGAGGTAGAGGACAGGCTGAAAGAGCACATGGACAACCTCCAGGACAAGAGGTGAGGAGCGGCTGTCACCCCCGCGGGCGCTCCGGGCACGCTGCCCGCCCCTGCCAGCCAGGGGCAGGGACGTGCCCCGTCCCGGGATACCCCGTCCCGGGATACCCCGGCCCGTGACGTCCCACGGTCTCTCGCAGCGCCAAGGTGCGGCAGGCGGCACTGCGGAGCCTGCGCCTGGCCCTGGCCTCCAAAACCCTGTCCGAGTTCCTGCTGGAGCGCCGCCTCACGCTCACCGACTCCCTGGAGAAGTGTCTCAAGAAAGGTCAGGGTGCAGGCGGGCCGGGGACGGCGGGGCCGGTGACCCGTGTCTGAGGGAGGTCTTTCGTGCTGCCCACAGGTAAAGGGGAGGAACAGGCGCTGGCGGGCACCGTCCTCACCCTCCTCTGCCTCCAGATGGGCTCTGGCCCGGAGGGAGAAGAGGTGTTCCACAGCCTGAAGTCCCTGCTCGTCAGCGTCCTGACAGACAGCACAGCCAGCCCCAGCGCCCGGCAGAGCGTAAGGCCTGGCCCCTTTCCTCCTGGGGACACCTCCATAGTGGGGAGAGCCTGGGCAATGCCTTTGGGAGCCCCTGCAGTCCCGGGAGGGTGGCAGGATTGGGTGCTATGGAGTGTGGTTGGGCAAAGCAGGGGCACCCCAACGTGGCTGCCCCTTGGCTGGGTGCTGGATCAGGCCCAGCATGATCCAGCCAGGCTGATCTGACTGCATTTCCCTCACTTCCCTTGCCAGTGTGCCACGGCCCTGGGCATGTGCTGCTACATTGCTGCTGCTGACCTCGAGGTAACTGCTCCTGGGTGTCATCCGTACCCCCTGCAAGAGGGCACCCAGGGGCTGCCATGCCACCTGCCCTCAGCCCACAGTGCCAGGGCAGCCTGGAGCTGAGCTGGAGTAGGGGTACAGGGACATCAGTGACAGCCCAGGCCCCTTCCCTGAGCAGCCTGGAGCTGAACTGGGGGGAGGCCTGTGTTGCAGAGATGTGGTGTTGTGCATAGAGTAGCCTCTCCTGCTCCAGGGAGCTCCTGGCACCCCTTGGCATGGTGGGTCCCTTTGGTCCCCTCTGCACAGTTCACTGTGGCATCTTCATTGCAGCTCTGGTCTGACTGCCAAATTTCTCTCCTCCAGGACCTGGTATCATGCCTGTCCTGCTTGGAGGGCATCTTCAGCCCTACCAGCACAGGCGAAGGGGGCTCAGCACCTGCCCAGCATGGGCCTCTGCACTGCAGTGCGCTCCAGTCATGGTCCCTGCTCCTCACCATCTGCCCCCCCTCCCACCTCAGGAGCATTTTGGACAAGTGAGTGGGGTGTGGAGTGAGTGGAGGCTGGTGTGGGGCAGCCAGCTGCAGAGCAGGGAGCCCCTAGGGCAGTGCTTGGCCTCCCTGACTGCCCTCTTGCCTCCCTGTCCCAGTCGCTGGCTGCAGCTGCCACCACTGCTGACCAGCAGCAGCGTTGCCCTGCGCATCCTGGCTGGGGAAACCATTGCTCTGCTCTTTGAGCTGGCCCAGGACCTGGAGGTAAGGCATGGGCTGTGGCAATGGGAGCAGTGGGTGGGCAATAACCAGGCAGCAGGGAGGGAGCTGCTGTGACACCCTGCCCAAGCCCCAGCCAAGCTGGCATTGACCGGTGTCACCAACAGGTGCCCAAGCAGAGGGGCTGGTCCCAGTGATCCCACAGCCCTGTTCTGGCCATGGCAGTGGGCAGTGCCTGGAGCTCATCCTTCTAAACCCCTTGCTTTTTGGCAGGAGGACTTGTGCCACCAAGATACAGAGTTCCTGTGTACCCAGCTCAAGGTCCTGGCTACTGAGAGCAACAAGTACCGAGCCAAGACAGACCGACGGAGGCAGCGATCCATTTTCCGGGACATCCTGCGTTTCATTGAGGTACCAGAGCCTGGTGATGCCCTGCCCTGCCACTGTGTGGCTGCTTCCCAGCTGCCCAATGATTCCTCTCTGGAGAGCCAGGGGACACACTGGACTGCTGCCCAGGTTATCGCTGATGCCCCTCTCTTTGCTCAGAGTGGGGAGTACCAGGAGGAGACCATCCGATTTGGCCTGGAGTGCATGTACCTGGACAGCTGGGCACGCCAGCGCACCTACCAAGCCTTTAAGGAGGTGCTGGGCTCTGGCATCTGCCACCACCTCCAGGTAGGGGCTGGGCAGGTGCACCAGGGACTGCTGGGCTGGTGCTGCTGGGTGTTGACAGAGCCCTGCTTTCACAGAACAATGAGCTGCTACGGGAGATCTTTGGCCTCGGGCCTCCCTTGGTGTTGGACGCGGCTGCTCTGAAAGCCAGCAAGGTCTCCCGCTTTGAGAAGGTGAGTGCCACCTCCCAGATTTGTGCCCTCAGTCCCCTCCTCTGTCACTGTGGGCTCCAGCTGAGTGCCTGAGTATGGTGGGCACTGCTGGGGAGGTGGGCAGAGGGGCATCCCTAACTTACCTCTCCTCCCCTCTCCTTCCAGCATCTCTACAACTCAGCTGCCTTCAAAGCCCGCACGAAAGCCCGGAGCCGCGTGCGGGACAAACGGGCAGATGTGCTGTGATGGGCAGAGGGGGGCAGAGCCCCCAGCCCACCTGGACTGCAGACCCAGCACTGTGAGGGGAAAGTGCCCCCAGCCCTCGGGCTTTTATTCATGTACAGCAGAGTATTTAATGTCTGGAGCTGCCCCAAGGGGTGGCTGCCCCCTCTTTTATTTTTTTAACCAAAAAAATAGGAAGGATAAAAGAAGAGCAGAGGGAGGTGGTGTCGTGCTGCCGTGTGCCTGCTCTATGGCTGGGGATCCATGTGGCACAGTGGGAGGGGGTCTCATCCAGGTTCCTGCGGCCCTTTTCAGTGGCAGGGCTCATGTACACCCTCCCCAGTCCTGCAGGGGCACCAGGGTGGCCTGGCACAGCCTGAAGTGTGGGTGGGAGGGTAAAGCTGTGCAGGGCTGTGGAGCAGCTGGTCCTAGTGTCTGTGCCTGTGGCAGGAGCATTCTCCCTGCCCTGCTGTGCTGGGTATAGCCCCTGCCTCCCCAGCCAGGCTGGCATCAGCAATGGTGGCAGAGCGGTGTGGAGTGGTGAGCTCTGCCCAGCCCTGCCAGCTGCCCACCCTCAGTCCTTTTCCAGCCAAATGCTTTATATGAAATAGTAATATTGTGGGAAATTAATTATGGGGGAGGTGGGGCACTGCCCAGGCGGGCATGGGGCCATGCCAGTTGGCAGTGCCTGCCTGGGAATGTATCTATCATGGTGATTTTCTAAGACTTTGATTGTAAGAGGTAATTAAAAGGCTAATTGAAGTATGCCTTCTGCCTTGTTAAGAGGAAGGGCTGTCACTGGGGCAGATGCAGGTCCTTACAGCCCAGTTTCTTTCACAGCTTGGGACAGGGGCCAGGATTGCCCCTGTGCCCCAAGGGGCGATGCTGCCAGGTCTCAGCAGGTAAGCCTGCTCACTCCCCCCCTCCTGCCCTTCGGTGCCCCTTCCCATGGTGGCCCGGAGCCCATGGTGGGACCAGGGGCAGCTCAGCGGTGCCCACCAGGCTGGGCACTGGCATTGAGGCGAGCCCAGAGCTGCTTGCTGGCTGCCCGCAGCTGGTGCACGGCGTCCTCCTGGCTCTCCAGCCACTGGGCCAGCGCCCGCACCGACTGGCTCTGCAGGACTGCGGGGAGAGGATGGGGATGTGCTGAGGGTGGGCAGTTTGGCCACCACAGTTCCCCATCGCCCCACCCTGCCCAGTGCCACGTACCACTCAGGTAGATGGCCAGTGTGGCCAGGACCAGGCTCGACAGTGCCAGGAGCGCCAGCAGGGCCAGCAGCAGGGGGTGGCCAGGGCCGAGGCAGGGGCAGGGGCTGGTGGAGGGCACGGGGCGCAGGGTGGGCAGGAGCTGTGGGGGCACGGGGGACACGGGCCGAGGTGGGGGCCGGCGCAGGCTGCTGGAGGGAGCTGGGCCATTGCCTGCAGGCAGGGAAGAGAAGGGGTCAGAGCCTGGCCACGGGCACAGCCGGGGCTTGCACAGCTCCCCCCAGCAATGCTCTCACCCTCTGTGCCCTTGTGCCCGCCCGAGGCCCAGTACAGGTCACTGATGGACTCCACGGGACGCAGGCTGATGGCTCCAGACTCGCTGCTGTCGGGGTCCCCAGGCTCTGCTGGCACAGCACCCTCGGCCCTTCCCATGCTGTCTGCTGGAGCAGAGGCAAAGGGTCAGCCTGTGCCCTGCCCACCTGTCCCGGGCACCCTTGTGGGACCAGAGCCCTGCCAGGGAGGGTCTCAGCCTTGGCAGCCCAGTGCTGCACCAGGGCAGGCAGCTGAGGTTGGTGTCCCTTTGGCACAGCCCTGCAGCCACAGTGGGCAAGCACTGGCTGTGCCCCCCTGGCCACACCGCTGTCATCGGAGCAGTTAGCGGGTGTCTGGTGGCCATGATCCCAGAGCCTTGTTAGTGGGGCTGGAATCTGGCCCTGGCTTGGGGGCAGGAATGTGGCACCCCCCAGGCAGGATAGCCCAGGCACTGTGGGACTGGCTGAGGCTGCAAGGGCCAGCTGGAAGCTGGTGGGCAGGTGCAGGGCAGTGCCAGTCTGCGGTGTGGCCCAGCTTGCCCTGCAGGTACTGTGCTGCTTGGAAGTGCACAGATGGAGATGTGGGGTCTATGCTGTGCCAGGGGCCCCTGGTGCCCATTGCCCTAGTGAACACGTCACTTGCGGCTGAGACGGCTTTTTGGAAGTAGGCATTGCTCCAGCACTGTTTTGGGAAGCAACCATGCCTGCATTGGGGTAGAGGAAAAAGATTATTTTCTAGGTGTTTGTGTACTTTTGAGCAGTGGGCAGGGCCCACGCACTGTGCCCTTGGCAGAGCAGGGCAGGCTGGCGCTGTGCCCACTCCCAATCCCTCCCGGGGTCAGTGGCGTGTCGCAGGGCAGCGTGGCGCCGTGCTGCTGCTGACCAGACTGTGTGTCACCCACAGAGCTGGCAGGCGTCAGGGTTGGGGGGCCTCAGCTGGTACCCAGGGTCCTCTCAGACCCTCCCCATGGCCAGGGACTGCTCCACAGGTACCCACATCACCCCTGCACCCACTTGCCCCTGGTGGAGGGAGCACAGCTGGTCGCATAGGTTTGGTGCAGGGGGCTGTGCCCAACAGCTGCCTGCACCTTCCCCAAACCCTGCTGCCCTACACCTGCAGCCCTCCAGGACCCCCTTCTTCCCTAGCAGGCATCTCTGCCCACAGCCCCCATGGCAGAGGGCACCATCTGTCCATCTGCTTCCATCCCAACCCCAGAGCCTCGCATCGCCCAGTGTCCCCTGGGGTGCTAGAGCCCCCGCCAGCCCCAAGCCCACTCCCCAGTGTACCTTCTGCAGCCTCCCTGGGCATGGCTCCCTGTACCCTGCACCCGGGCAGCGTGAGCAGGCAGTGAGGTGGTGCAGGGCCCCCAGGAGCTGGGCACTGGGTTCCCGGTGCGCCAACTGCGCCGCTTAAAATAGGACAGTGAGAAACACGGTTGGGGGGCGATAAAAATAGCTATGGGGAGGGGGGCCTGGTGGCGTGGCCAGGGCTGCTGGCAGCACAGTGCCAGTGGCAAAGGGACAGCAGGTTGTGGCAGTGCCCCATGCCCCCTTTCCCAGGGTAAAGGGGCTGCCAGCTCATGGGATCAGGGCAGAGCCCATGCAGGAAAACTGAGGCACCACCACTGTTGGATCCACCCAAAGCCAAACTGGGGTCTGTGCTGTCTCTCAGCAGCAATGGCAACTGTGCCCAGCCTGGGGGCACCACAAAGTCCCCCAGCTTTGTCCGCAAAGACCATGCTAGCTGTGCCAGGAGAATTTATTTAGGTTAGTGAGACCACAGGAAGTGCCAACAGCAGCACTACTGAGGTAGGGGACCGTGGTGGTCCCCGGCCCTTGTCACCAGCCCCACACACCCTGTGGCAGGCAGGTGTCAGAGGATGTGAGATCCTTGTGCCCATAGAGGCTGTGAGCGTGGGTGGGCACCTGGCAGGAGGTGGCAGGGTTGAGCCGTACCGGCTGGGCACAGCCTTCACCTGCCCAGCCACGGTAGCAGTGGCAGCGGAAAGCAGCCCATGGGCTGGCACCGGGGCCAAGGTGCAGGAGGCTGCCCAGGTCGTGGGGCTGCCGGCGCACACAGCGCCCGTGTCCATGGCACTGCGCATAGCTGCATTCTCGGGCTGCTGCCGTCACGTTGGCCACGTAGGGACCCAGGGTGGACACGAGGTAGTGGCGCAGGCTGGCACAGCTTTCCTGGGGAGGAAGCACCAGTGAGAACCCACCCCAGCAACAGAGACCTGGCCAGCCCTACCTGGTGGGCACAGGAGATGTGGCCATCCTGTACATCCCATGCCATCTCCTGCTGCCCACTGCCTCCAGCGCTGCCAGGGGCCATACTCACAGCCGAGTGCGAGTAGGACATGTCTCCCCAGAGCACGAGTCCCGACGCTCCCAGTGCCGCGCTCTCCCCGATGGTGTGCACCAGGTCAGCCTGCCGGGAACACAGACATGACCGGTCTGGGGAACACAACCTCTGTCCCCGTGCCAACCGCATCGCCCCCACGGCCAGCTCCGGCCCCACGGTGCTTACCAGCTGCAGGAAGCGGGACGAGCGGCGGTAGGAGAGGCGGGAGTAGGCGATCACGGGCAGGAGGCCATCGGGCCCGAAGGCGGCCACGCGCAGGGCCTCGCGCAGCCGGTGGTGCACGTAGCGGCGGCGCAGGGTGGGCGGCAGCGCCAGCGGCAGGTAGATGCTGGGGTAGAGGGCAGAAGAGGCGGCCCAGAGCCAGCCCAGGTGGTTGTTACGCTGCACCTCTGCCGGCTGGCACTGCCCGGTGTAGTTTGCCTCCTTGGCCCAGTTGGTGTTGAGGCAGTCGGGAAAGCGGTAGAAGCCCCAGAGCCCCCCGGGGCGCATGGCTCGGCCCACCAGGAGTGTCTCCTCCATTAGAGCCTGTGCCGCCTGCTCGAACTCCAGCTGGGCCAGTCGGAGCTGCCGCCGTGCCGGCAGGATGCCGTGCTGGCTCCGCACCCACTGCTCTGAGGCTGTCCGGTACATCTTTTTGGCACCCCAGTTTTGGGCCCATAGGGGCCTCCACTCCTCCCAGTCCACCACGGCCAAGCCATGGAAAGCAGGTCGCAGGAGGAGGCGGATGTCCTCGGCCACCCTGTTGATGTGGGCCTCGAGTGAGACACGCTGGGGGATGCCCCCATTGTGGGGGACACCCTGCTGTGACAGGTAGGGGTACAGCCCAAACTTGTTCTTGTAGAAGATGGTGATGTTCTGGCCGGCAAAGTGGCCTCCCTGGTTCTCCACGATGCCGTAGTCGCTGAGGGGCAGCCCCACACCAAAGCGGTGCTGGCAGCGGCTGGTGGGGACGTTCCACACCACGGCAAAGGGCTGCCTGCCTGCCAGGGGTGCGGGTGCTGGGCTCTCCTCGCTGGCTGTGCCCAGCGCCAGGCAGGCCCACAGTGCCAGCACCAGCACCATCCCGCCTCACCAGCTGCTTGCGGGGCAGCACCCTGTGAGGAAAGGAGAGCCGTGGGAGTGAGGCTGTGGGATGCGGTGGGCATTCCAGCAGTGCACTCGACCCTGGCACACAGTGGGCTAGGACTGGCCACAGGGGCTGGGATGTCCTGCAAGCACATGCTATCCACCCCAAAACCTGACAGGACTTGGGGGTTTGAGACCCCTCCTGCCTCAGCACAGCCAGCGTTACCTCTGCCTGCTGCTCTCTGCTGCTGAGATCCTGCTTGCACCACCACAGCCGTGGCACAGCTCCAGAGTGGCACTGCAAGCCACTGGTGCTGGTGCCTCAATTTCCTTGCTGGCTTCCAGTCCTGCCTGTAGCGGAGGCACCGAGACTCCCTGGTCCCCGTTTTCAGCACAGTGCTGAGCCAGGCTGGGTGACCTACTGAAGGACTCAGTCCCCCCGAGAGGCATGGTGGGGCCAAAGGGGCAGCTCTGTCCCTCACAGTTCAGGCAGGGCCAGAGGGGTCTGGTGCCCCTGCCCAGTGCTGGCCAGCTGCCCAGAATGAGGGGATTAGGCAGGGAATGGGCCCAGGGCCGCGTGATACAGCAAGGGCAGTGCTAATCCCTCGTTGCGAGGCTGGACGCTCCCTCTGACCTTCCCGCTCCTGTGCCTCTGGCCCTCACTGACGCCGGCTGCCTTAGGGGGGCTTGGCAGTGCAGGGGACCCAATTCTGCAGCCCCACCACCGTGCCCTACTCCCACAGTGCCACCCCAGCCATCCTGTGCCTCAGTTTCCCCAGGCTGCTCTGTGAGGACAGCTGTGACCATGCTGGAGGCCACCACATGCCATCAGCCCCAGCTGCCCCACAGCAAATCCTGAGTGGAGGAGACACTGGTGGCACTGGGCAGTGCTCCTGGGGACTCGTGCCAACCCCTCAGCCTGGGGTGGACCTGGCTACCCACCATGCTGGTGGTCCCAGAGGCCCAGCCAGGCAAGCTGGGGGCCAGGCAGGAGCAGAGGTAGCCTGCCCAGGAAGGGCAGGGTATGGGAACCACCTCCCTGCCAGCACCACTCCCTCAGCACTGGGGCCAGGGTGAACCATGGAGGCTGGGGGAGCTGGTGCCAGCCCTGAAGAATGGCAGGCAGTCAGGCAGTGCTGCGGCGGGCAGCTCCCACCCACACTGCTTTTAATCACCAGCTTGGGGCCCCAGCCCCTCAGATGTCCTTCTTCATCCAGAAGATGGGGAGCCCTTTGGCATCACGGTGTGGGGATTCCAGGAGGCTCTGCTCACTGCTCTCAGCCAGGACACCTCTTGCCCAGATCACAGTTGGTGGGGGAGGTGGTGGGGGGACAGTGAGGGGCTGGGGGGGAGGCGGGGGGGCAGCAGGTACCCACGGCCTGGCGGTGGTGGCAGTGGCAGCCCCAGAAGGGGCGGAGAAGAGCCGCAGCACCTCAGAGGATATAGCTGGGCTGAGAAAGGCCACGTTCTGCACCGGCTCACCCAGGACATAGCCCAGGTGGGCATAGAAATGCTGCTTGTCGTGGGTGGTGAGGTGCAGGCAGCGAAAACCCTGGGCCCGGGCCCACTGCTCAGTGGCCTCCATCAGCCGCCGCCCATAGCCCTGGCCCCGCAGCGCCCGGGCCACCACCACGCTCTCCACAAAGAGGTCATGGGGACAGCCGACCACACGGGAGAGTCGGACATGGCCCACGAGCTCGCAGGGCCCCTCCTGGGTGGCAGGGGTCTCGCTGGGGCCCTGGCTCCGCAGCAGCAGCAGGCAGGTGGGAAAGGCGTCCGAGGAGCGCTGGAGTGTGTGGAGCCGCGACGCCCGGCTCTTCCCCCACTCCTCGCCCAGCAGCTTGGCACAGGCTTCCAGCAGCTCCGGCCTCTGGTGCAAGGGGACCAAGCTGAGCTCCTCTGACACGGAACCCATTCTTCTCACTGACAGGAAACCAAGCAGGTCACAGCTTAGAGGCAGTAAGGCACAGACCACGCGTTTGTTCCCCCCAGCCCGACACCGGCCCCAGTACAGATGCGGTTCCCCAGCCGCACAGCCAGATGAGTTCACGGAGCTTTGGTGGGTCCAAGGGCAAACAACAGATTCATGGCAGGGAAGTGGCATATGGTGCCAGCTCCAGGAAATCATGCCATGAGACCTGCAGAAAGGTCTAGCGCTGCCAAACCAGCTGAGGGCCAGGAGGCACAGTGCTGGCCTTGCCTCCCCTGCCATTAGCTCCTGCCACCTCAGAACCCATGAGACCAGCCAGCTCATCACTCACGTCCTCAAAGTCAGGGCTCTGAGGAGTCCAAATAGCCTCTGAGAGGTCAGAAAATCCCTATCCTACTGCATGCCATGAGGTCCCATCTCAGACTGGCCGTTCCCCTTGCGAAGGAGAAGCCGCAGGCAGAAGGCAGGAGGAACCACCATGCCAGTTGATTAACTAGGATTGAGCAAACTGCCCCACTTCCCCTCTGGGGGCTGGGGATGGCCTGAGCCTGCTGTCCCACACCCTAGATGCCACCAAGAAGCATGGTGGGGTCACCCCCCTAGCTCCAAGACTCCTGACTCACAGCCCAGCCTGCAGTGTCCCCTTCAGAAGCCAGACCCTACCAACACTGCTGAGTGGGTGATGGTTTCCTTCCATCTGCCCAGCAAAGCCACACCAGGACTCCCACAGCATTTGCCTGCCACCCACCATGACTTCACCCACCCTCCCTGTGCTCACTCTGCTGCTACCAACCCTGTCTGCACACGCCCAGCCCACAGGCACCCTGCTCACACCTGTACCTTGCTCACACCTGTACCTGCTCACACCCACCCTGCTCACACTCACCCTGCTCACTCACCCTGCCCTCTGTTGCTGGCTCCTTTGTCCCGGATGCCAGCACAGCAGGAAGCAGCCCTGGCTCATGACCAACCACAGCGCCTGGTTCTGCTTCCCCGGTGTGAATGACACGTCTGTCAGGGCCCCACACAGCACACCCCGCTTCCCACGCTGCACCCCCACACAGGCCACTCACCCTGCCTGTACCCCGATTGCTCCAAACCACAAACCAGCACACACACACACACACACAGACTGAAATAGCACCACCCAGCTGATCGCTGCCCCCACCTCATGGCTGCAACTCCTGAACAGGTCCCGACCCCACCACTGACCATCACTGACCACCACTGACCTAACACTCACCTCACCACTGACCTGCCATTGACCCCATCAGTGACCCCACTGTTCACCCATCACCGACCCCATCCCCGCCCACCAGCCCATCATTGACCCTATCACTGACCCCAGCATTGACCCATTATTGACCAATAACTGACCCATCATTGACCCACCATTGACCCCATCACTGACCCATCACTGGGCCACCACCATGCCCCTCTCCCTGCCCTTCTCCCCGTGGCGCTGCCCTGCCCCAGCCCGGTCCCGCCCGTACCGTTCCTCGGCCCCGCCGCCGCCGTCACTTCCTCCGGCCCGCCCGGCCCGCCCGCGCCCTCTGGCGGCCGGAGGACGCACCGCCCGCGCCCCCGGAGCCTCGCGCTGCCCCCCCAAATTCCCGCACGGACCCACCGTGGCAGGCACACCCCACCCTGACCTGCCCAGCCCTCCGCAGCGCCTCCAGTGCCAGGGACACCGAGCCCTACTGGGCAGAGCTGCAGCTCTCCTCCCTTCTGGAGCTGGGCTGCCCAAGGCTGTTTTGGGGATGTCCATCTTCACGCCCTCCCCTCCTCCCCAGGGAGTGAGACACTGTGCGGGAGCTCTCCATCCGTCTCTTTCAAGTCGTGATGGGGCTTACAGAGGGCACCACAAAGAAGATGTTGAAGCAGGAGGTGCTGGACAGCTCTTTCACCTGCATGACCAGAACACTGTTCTTCCCTGACTCCTTCTGTGCCGAAGGGATTGCACATAATAAAATTTCTGCACAAAAGCAGATGTTAGCTCTTTAGAGCATCACCTGTCCCAGACAGACAGACACTACCCCAGCATGGCCAAGGACGGGTCCCTGGAACTCCACAAAGGACATGGGAAAGGACCAGAGGCCATGCCCGACAGTGGAGGCTGGTTAAGGGTTCCTGAGGGGCAGAAGGAGTTGATCGTGATTTCAGAAGTAGCAACCACAGTCACTGTCACCACGGGGGGCTGCCAGCTGCAGGACTGGGCCCGAAGGGCCATGGGGGGCAGAGGAGGCAGCGCTGGGGGCCCCGGGGCTCTGAGAACCGGCCCTGACGAGTGCCCGGTCCCTGCGGCAGAGACCCCCGCCCGGCACAGGGACCGGTGGGGCGGGGACAGCGGCAGGGGCGGGGCTACGGGCCTCGTGACGTCACACCGAGTGACAGCGCGGCCGCCGGACGGGGGCGGGGCAGGGCGCGCTTCCGGGACCGGGAGGCGGTGCCGCAGGGCCAATAGGAGGCGGGATCCTGCCGCCCACAGCCAATAGGCGCTGTCGGGGGCGTGGCCTGAGCCTTGCCGGCGGCGGGGGGGGCCCACGTGCGGCGGCAGCATGGCGGCGGCGGCGGCGGGCGGCAGGAGGGCCAAGGCCCCGCGCGGGGCGGCGGCACGGCGGCGGCCGCGGCCGGTGGTAAGAGCCGGACCGGGCCGGAGGGAGAGAGGGAGGCGGGTGAAGAAGAGGTACGTCGCCGCGGCCGCTGCCGTGACGCTTTCGCTGCGCCCGTCCCGTCTCGTCTATCGCCCCATTTTGTTCCGCAGGCACCGGCCGCCGATGGAAGACCGCGGGCGACGGCCGGTCGGCCCGCCGACGAGGAAGTGTCTAGCGACTCCGAGACAGAGAGGTAAGGACTGCGCCTGGGGAGTGCCGGTACCGTAGTGGGGCGCCGATACCGGGGGATGCCTGTACCGGAGAGGATGCCGGTACCTGTGGGGTGCCGGTAGCGATGCTCACGCACGCGTGTCCCTGCAGCCCGTTATTGGAGCGGCGGCGGCGGCGAGAGGCAGCGGAGGAGGAGGTGGAGGAGACGCCGCAGGAGAAGAAGCTGCGCTTGGCCAAGCAATACCTGGAGGAGCTCCGCCAGCTCGGTGAGTCCCGCCCGGCGCCCGTGCCCCGCGGGGCGGCCCCGGGCGCTGAGCCCGAGCCTCATGCACTGTCCCGCCGCAGAGGAGGAGCGGGCGGAGGAGGAGGAGGAACTCGAGCCGGCGGATCTCATCGGCGACCGGCTGAAGGAGGACGTGGTGAGCGGGGGGGGCGGGGGGGCGGACGTGGCGTCTCGGTCCCGTTGACGGCAGCGGGCTCGGTCCCCTTCCCGCGGGACCGGGACTGAGGCCACCTCTGCTGAACCTCCCCCTTCTTCCCCAGTTGGAGCAGAAAGGGCGACTACAGCGCCTCGTCGCCAAAGATGTAAGTGCCCGGCGCTGGGGGTGCCAGACTGCAAGAGCCAGCTTAGGGGACACTAAGGCACAGCCAGCATGCTACAGCCTTTCTCCCTGCTGCTGGCATCCTGGAGAAGGCAGGGTGCTGTGCTGGAGTGCTCCCGTGCCTGGGGAAGGGTCCTGGGCAGCCCAGCTCACATCCTGCTCTTCCTGCAGGTACAGCCTCCAGATGCAGCCAGGATCCGTGTGCTGAGGGGACACCAGCTGCCTGTTACCTGCCTCGTCATCTCTCCTGATGACAGATTCATTTTTTCTGCTTCCAAGGATGGCTCCCTCATCAAATGCAAGTGTTCACCTGGGGCTGCCACTGGCTATTCCCAAGCCCTGCAGGGACCCAGGTGCCCACTGAGGTGGCTTGGGTCTTGGCTGTTCTTGGATTGTGGATAATTCCAGGCTCTGTGGAAGGCTAATTGACACTTCTGGGAGTGGTGGGAGGCTCCCAGAGGCTGATTGTGATGACTTTCCCGCAGGGGAGGTGGACAGTGGGAAGAGGCTGTGCGTGGTGCCCGGCGGGAAGAAGGGCACGGAGGAGCGGCACATGGGGCACGCATCCCATGTCCTTTGCATGGCCATTTCATCAGACGGCAAGTACCTGGTACGGGGGCAGGGCTGGAGAGATGGCCATGGGAAGTGTTCTCCCAGGGTCCTGGGGGTAGAGTCTTACGCCCAGCTGTTCCTTGCTGGGTTAAAGTAGCCCCTACCCCCTGCTGGGTCACGAATGGGTCCCTGGGACACCCAAAGCCCATGGAGTGGAGGCAGGACAGGGCTGTTGGTCTCCAAGGTGCAGATCTCAGGCATCCCCTGCTGTCTGCCAGGCTACGGGAGACAGGAACAAGCTGATCATGATCTGGGATGCAGCCACCTGCAAGCGCCTGCACATCTTCACTGGGCATCGTGACGCTGTCTCGGTAAGTTGGGGGCATTGGGCAAGATGCCTGTAGGGTCAGGTAGCTGTGTCCTCCCCAGTGTCCCTCACTGCTGTACCGTGTCTGTCCATCTGTCCCCAGGGCCTGTCCTTCCGAAAGGGCACACACCAGCTGTACAGTGCTTCCCACGACCGCTGTGTCAAGGTCTGGGATGTGGCAGAGAACGCATACGTGGAGACTCTGTAAGACCTGGGGCAATCCCACTGACCCTTCCAAGGGATGCGCCAGAAGCCCTGAGGAGGTGAGGGGGCAGAGAGCCATGCTTGCCACAGCTCTTTGTCATCTCCTTCTCCAGGTTCGGACACCAGGACATCATCACAGGGCTGGACAGCCTGAGCCGGGAGTGCTGTGTGACAGCAGGGGGACGGGATGGCACCGTGCGGCTCTGGAAGATCCCTGAGGAATCACAGCTCGTGTTTTCTGGGCACCAGTAGGTCTGGGATGGAAGAGGGGGCTGTGGGCAGGTGTGTCCAGCTGGGGCAGTGGGGTATGTCTGCCAGGCATCACCAGAAGCACCCTGGGGATGCTGATGCCCTGGTGAGCCCTTGTCCCCTAAGCAGGATCCCAGAGCACACTTGCAGCTTCTGGCAGTTGCCTCTTCTCTTCACAGAGGCTCCATCGACTGTATCCAGCTCATCAACGAGGAGCACATGGTGTCTGGTGCTGATGATGGGTGAGCACGGGGCCAGGATGATGCCTGGGGTGGGCAGGGTGTCCCCTCAGCCCCCTCATCCCTCACGTCCCCGGCAGGTCTTTAGCCCTGTGGGGGCTGACGAAGAAGAAGCCGCTGGCACTGGCACGGCAGGCGCACGGTGAGCAGGACACCCAGGGCCTGCAGCAGCCCTTCTGGATCGTGGCGGTGGCTGCCCTGTGCAACAGTGACCTCCTGGCCACAGGTGTGTGACAGCTGCTTTTGGCAGCCTGTGGGGAAATGTGTCCTGCTCCCATTGCTGGGCTGGGGTGCATGACAGTCTCCTCTCTGTGCCCCAGGGTCCCACAGCGGCAGTGTGAAGCTATGGAAATCTGGTGAAGGATTTCGGAAGCTGGAGCACCTCTTGGACATCCCCTTGGTATGGATGGATGGGCAGGTTGGGAATTCTGGAGCTGGGCTGGAGGGTCTCTCAGCAGGGGCTCCCCTCCTTGGGAAGCTTGAGAAGCCTGTGGGAGCCCCTCACCCTGCTCTGTCCCCTCCAGGTGGGTTTTGTCAACAGCCTCAAGTTCTCAGCAGCTGGTGACTTCCTGGTGGCTGGCATTGGGCAGGAACACCGGTACTGTCCCCACTCCCTGCTGCTGCCTGGGGGTGCAGCTTCCCCCTCCTCTGGGTCTTGTTGGAGGGTGACCCCCCCCCATCTCTCTCATCCACAGGCTCGGACGGTGGTGGAGAATCAAAGAAGCAAAAAACAGTATCTGCATCATCCCCCTGAAGCAGAAGAACACAGCCTCTAGTCCTGAATCCCCTGTCAGCTCCTAGGCCCCTGTCCCTGGAGCCACTGGAGCAGGTTCTTCTGTCCCTGGAGCTGTGCCCCCAATCCTTGGTGCAGCCACCACCCTGAGGTCAGCAGGATGTGAGTGGGGGTTGTCACATTGCCCCCATGTCTTGATGTGGCTCTGCCCTCTGCGAGGGTCTGTCCCCTTCTCTCAGGTTTGGCTGTACCTGAGCTCTGGAACAATCCATTTTGTAAAAAAAACAACACCAAAACCACTTTATTTACATAAATTACAAAAAAAAAAAAAAAATAATCACACTTTCGTTCACAGAAAAAGTCTACTCTTAAAAACTTGGTTGGGCTCAAATACCTGGGTCCTGGTGCTTGCCCTGAGCCTCCAACGCCCCCCGGGGCTCTGCAGGGGCTGGGGTCAGCGGGCATTTGTCTGCCCCTGCTTCTGCCCTGTCTCCCACAAAGGGATGAGAAGCGCCACACACAGTGAGGGAAGTGATGTGGGGGCTTGGGCCCGGCCCAGCCATGCTCAGTGGCTCTCCTGAGGCCAAAACCAGGAGGAAAAGGGGAAAAGGCAAAGCACTAGGGAGGAAAGGGTGATGTGGTGCAAGGCTTGGCACAGAGG